AGAATGTACACATGCACCACAGCAGACATGTGGAGTCCAGGAGTTAATTTGGAGAAGCGGGTTCTTTTCTTCCATCATATGCCTTCTGGGGTTAGAACTCACACTGTGAGACATGGCTTCAACATCTTTACCTGCTGAGCCATCTTGCCAGTCCATAACCACCTTTTTTTTTTTACATAAGTGCTTTACATCTTAATCCATAGATTATTCAAGACTTATTGAATGTGAGGTTCTTTGTGGTGAAATATTAGTTGAAGCTGTGTTACGTTTGTTAATGCTGTAGGATATTTGTTTAAGGATGCGAAGATGTGCTGTATTCTTTTATGTTGCATTTGTTTAACTCTGTGAAGCTGTGTTACTTTGCCTGCCTAAAACACCTGATTGGCCTAATAAAGAGCTGAACGGCCAATAGCTAGGCAGGGACAAAGATAGGTGAGACCAGCAGGCTGAGAGAATAAATAGGAGGAGGAATCTGGGAAGAGTAGGTCAAGGAGCAGGAAAAGGAGGAGAAGAGGACATCAGAAGCCAGTCACCCGGCTACACCGCAAGCCACAGAGTAAGTAAAGAAAGGTATACAGAATAGAGAAAGATACAAGTCCAGAGGCAAAAGGTAGATGGGACAATTTAAATTAAGGAAAGCTGACTAGAAACAAACCTAACAAAGGCTGGGCATTCATAAGTAAATATAAGACTCTGTGTGATTATTGGGGAGCTTGGTGGTGCCCCTCCCAAAGAATAAAGGGTTAAATAAAAAAGAAGCAAAAAACAGTTATTTCCCTTTATCTGTCCACTGATCAATCTGCCACTAACCAGAACCTCTTTATCATTGCAAGGAATCCAGAAAACAAAAACAAAAAAACCATTTCTTCCTGTGCTGTGTGTGTGTTCAGTGTATGTGCATGTGTGTGAGTGTTCACATGTGCATGAATGTGTGTATGCAGTGTGTTTGCCAAGGTGCATGTGTGGCAATCAGAGGACAGCCTGGGGCATCCGTCTTGTTTGTGTTGTTTGAACAAGGTCTCTTGCTCACTGATGTATATGTCAGGCAAGCTGGCCGAGGGATTCTTCTGTCGCTACCTGCCACCTTAGAGTAGGAGCACTGAGATGTCGGCCATACCTGTGCCTGGCTCTATCTGAGTACTGAGCGTCCAATGCAAGTCCTTACACTTGAGTAGCAAGCACTTCCTCCACTGTGCCATCTCCTTGGCCCACACCTTCCCATCCTTACTCAGCAAATCCAGCGCATCTTGTCATACCCCAGTTGTTTGCTAACACCCTTGCTCCTCTGTCATCTTCAGGCTATTGATCAGAATAATGCATTTTTTCAGTAATAGCTTTAATATTTTGGCAACTTTTTACATGAGCATTGCATCTACACCACCCTTGCCCTTCCTTCCCCTCTAACTCCTCCTGTATGACCCCCTGTTTCATGACCCTTTCTTTAATTACTGTTGTTACCTTTTTTTATATGTAGGTGCATGGGTATATATTCTTTTATATATAGTCTACTGAGATCATTTAGCTTTGCTTATATATACAAATGTCCAAACTAACCATTTGGAATTGGACAACCTATGTTGGGATTCATCCCTAGAAGAGGCTGATTCTCCCTCTCTTGGCAGGCAATTATCTGTATCTGCTCATCTAAGTGTGGGGACTTGTAGGATATACTCCGTCTACATTGTCACGTTGGCTACTGTTGTCATTATTCTGGTCTTGTGCAGGCGACCATATTGTGAGTGTTTGTGTGTGGGCATCACAGTCATACATAAGAGATGTTATGTCACAGCAGACTTCTTGCCTGACCTTCTGGCTCTTACAATCTTTCTGCCCCATTTGTGCAAAATCCCCTTAGTCTTAGGTGTGTTACTTGTGTTACAGATGGGGCTGGACACTACAGAATCGTGCATTCTCTTCATTTGGGGAAGTTATGAATCTCTATAATCGTCTCCATCTGTGGCAAATAGAAGTGTTTTTGATGGTGGATGAGAGCTAAACTTAGCTGTGCATATAAAGATAACTATTTTAAATAGTTTAGGAAAATGACCGTGGTGGCTTCTCCTCTTGTGTCTATGACTTTTCTAGTCATGGGTGGTAGGTAGGTTTACAGTGCCAGGCATGCATTCCCTCTTGTAAAGCAGGGCTCAAGTCCAATTAGGCAGCGGTTGGTTAACCAGAGATAAAAGTGACTATTGCCCTGATGTGGCTCTCTGGCTGGATCGGTCAATGCTGCAGTGTCATAGGCGCCCTGACTGGGTAGGACTACCAATTTCTTCCCTCTCAGCAGCTTGCTTAGAACTCTCTAGTACCTGTCCTTAGGGAAGAGGCTTCAAGATCGGTTCCAGCTTGACTCCTTAAAGTCCTGAGTTCAAAATATGTGGTGACTTCAGCAATGGCGTCCTACATTCACGCTTTTGGAAGCAACTAAGGACAATGGCCTCTCTCATTTTTTGGAGGAGGGGAGTTGTCTCTCGGTCTCTCCTGACTAACAACTCAAAGGGAAGTTTCCCACAGCTAGTACTGGAGTTTGTCTAAGATGATCTATGGCACCTGATGGAGCATTATCACCTCAAGTGGCGTCACCATCATCATCATCATCATCATCGTCATCATCATCATTTATGCCCTGGCACTCCTTGAGCATGCATGGGCAGCCTGTTTATGACAGGTCTCAAGTTGTTCTTATCCTGGGCAGTTCTAGATTATTGCCATACCCAAGGTTCCACAGTCTTTCTTTATGCTGTCTAGCCAGCGTTTTGGGGGCCTTCCTCTTTGCCTTATCCCATGCACTCCTCCAAGCAGTGCTGTCTCCAGGTATCGGCCATCATCTGTTCTCAGAACATGGCTGAAGTACCTCCAGTGCCGCTGCCGTATCCTGTAGTTCCCAAGTGACGTAACCTAGTTTGAATTGTTTATATATGCATACACACATCCTTATTATAGATGCATTTTAAATAAACATAAGATAATATTTCCCTACAGCTTTTTCAGGGATGTTCTTTATTCTTCCTCCTTCTCTTTCTACTTGGATTGGCCTCTCTCCCCATTTCATTTCTCAGTAGTTAATATTTAACATTTCAAACCATTGAACCCAATTATCTTTCTAAAATGATATTTTATTTTTAATTAACTATGTAAGTGGGCATCTGTGTGTATATGTGCACCTGTGAGTGTAGGGGCCCACAGAATATAGAAAAGGGCATTGGCTACCCTTGATTTAGATTTAGGCCCAGGTGGCCATGAGCTGCCAGATGTGGGTGCTGACAACAGGACTCTTGGGTCTCCTGCAAGAGCAGTATGAGCTTTTAATTAGTGTGTGGCATCTCCATCCTGAGTTTAAATATTTTTGAAGTTAACAGTGAATCTATGGAAGAGTTTTCTTTTTCATCTGTTCTGTTATACTTTGTAAAGATTCACGATGTCCCTTTTAGAGTGGTTCACTTTGGTCTGGAAGCAAACAAATGGTTTAATATTTTATCTGCCGTCTTGCTTTGTTTCTGTTGGTTTAATTCTTGGAATCAAATTTGATATGTAATTCAAGTAGGTAAGCAGCATTAAAAACATGGTGAAAGACATTGCAGCCCTAGGGAGTTTTCATAGAAACTGGAGGAAAACTAGAGTTGTTTGGGGAAAAACCTAGATGTTGGAGTGGTAGCACACTGTATTGTGGGTTCATTTTGCTTGCTTTGCTTCGGAAGCAGACTCTCCATAAATGGCACTTTAATGTGAGTGATTCTTTAATTGAAATTTTGGAAGTGTTTTAAATATTAAAATTAGAGCCAACTGGATGGCTCTGAACCCCATTAATTCTCTTGCTCGCAGTTTTTAATATTTCTTGAGATACTCTGTCTCCTTAGCTACCATTTTCTTATAAGAATATCTGTAACATAGTTATAGGACTCCTAAGACACTGAGTTGGGTCAGTAGGAAAAATACTGCAGATACACACACACAAACACACTTATGCACATGTGCACAGATGCACACATATGCTGTAAATATAAATAAATAATTACAATTTAAAAAATTAAAACAAAAACTCAAAACCAGATCTACTCTATTATGTTTTTAAATTGCCTGCTGAACTCTTGTAGGATTTTCATTTAATCTAATATGGGATTTGAGGGTATAGCAAATCTTCTAGACCCAGCTATCATCCTTCTCACCTCAAAACCTTCAGTTTTTGCCTCTGGGTAAACAGATTGATAAACAAATGCCACCTGGCCACTTGCAAGGGGAAAGGAATAGCCTTTGTGTTACCGTGATTTGTAGCACCTTTAATGCCCGGTTGGTACATTCCTAGTGCATGGTCATCCATTATCTTATCAGTTGTCATTTTATTTATTCAACAGGTGTTATTGAGCAGCTGCTCTGGCTAGAAATTGCTTATTTACCTCTGTTCTAAAGTTGTGACCTCTTCTTTTTAAAATAATTTATTATTTAATATGGTGCTTCTGTTGTGTTGTCTTCCATTCTCCTTGGGTTTTGGCAGAGCAGCATGACGATGGTGAGATTATACTGTAGAATCAGAAGGCTGGTGGTCAACCTCAGTTCCAGCATTCTAATCCTATGACCTTATGCAGGTTTAATGTGCTGCCTTGTGTCACATGTAGTCTTTTGTGGGGACAATGATGATCTCTTAATTTCTGCAAACTAATGGGTGAATACTCAAATAATGTATTGCATTGTGCTCCACAGGCAGAAAAGCATGCAGTAGATGATGCTTGCTATTGTTAATAAGCCCATTGCTAGTCTAGTTGAGTGTCAGAATCTTTTAAAAAATAGCGTACATTTTGCAAATACCTACTAAGTATGCTCAGAGTAAACTTGGAGAATGAAAGACACGCCACCAACTGGCCTGTGCATCAAAAACAAAAGCCCTGAAGTTGGGTCTGGCAATGGTGATTAGTGCATATGCTTAGAATGCCTTCTAGAATATGTTTGTTGCTCTGTCTGAACTGTGATGAATGTCACTAATGCCTTCTCTCTTTCTTTTTTAGGTAAGTACATCCTCATTTTTGGTGGTTTTGCTGATGGGTAAGTCTTGTGGCTGGAGCGTTATGTGTTGATTTACGTACTTGAAGAATTGGACCAGACATAAGACTTGCAGCTAGACAAGAGGCTCTTGCTAGGTTGGCAGCATTTTTACATGCTTTCTATCTCTGTTTCCAGCCGTATAGAAAAAAAAATACACCCACTTATAAAAGATGGATAAACTACGTTCTTCACTCAGTTGGTAGAAGATGGAGCTTTGTTAACGATTGCAAAGTTTTCTCTTTGCTGTTATAAATCAACAAAGGGTCATAAAGCATCTCTCAAGTAACCATGCTTCTGTTTGCTTACACAAAGGCTATCTTTCTGTTTAAGGAATGAACATGCGTGGTTATATTCTTTTAATGAATCATAATTTTGTAACAAATAGAAAAGGGGCAGGTAACCCTATTAGGCTCCTTGCGCAAGATATGGAGGAGGAAATTCTTGCTTTAAGTGGATGTTGACCTAGTTAATAGGTCTGTAGCTGGCTGAAATCTATCACCATAAAAGACTAAACAAGATGAAATGACCTTAAATCACAAGGGATTTAGTATAGATCTGTCAGACGTCATTCGTCAGATGATTAAGCTATGAAACAATTGGTAAAGTGAAGTTATGAAATCTCTGTCACTGGTGAACTTTAAAACTACAAAAGATCTTAAGAAATTAAGATTTATTCTGTCTCCAGGCAAACTATTGAACTGGATGCTTGGCTTCAAAGATGAAGTCTCGATTTGCTTTTTCAGTTTAAAAGTCTCATTGATTACTCTGTGCACAGTCCGTACTCCATGTGATTGTCCGAGTCTTCTTGAATAAAATGCTGGAAAGGAGATAGATATGTAAATATATTAGATATTTCTCTTACAAGAGAGAAAAATATCAGAATGAGAAAATGTAGGGGAAGAGGGTAGGTGTGAATGAAACTTTTCACACCATGATACAGGCTTACTCTGAGGGAAAGATTATGAATGGAAGCATCCTAGATCTTGTTAGAAAAATCCGTGTGAATCCTCAAGCCCCAATGGACCACCATAGGAGTTGTGTATTTTCCTACAAGTAACCAGTATCCTAGATGGGCCCAGTCATCATGGATTGGTAGACTGTGTTGGTCTGGCCTAAGGTGAAATGCTGCTGTAGACTTCAAAGGCCGTGACTAGGCCCTTTATGGTCAATAATAGTCTCAACATCTGGAGTCTGCAACATATTTGTAGACGTACTATGTCTTAGCTCTTCCCATTTCCCATTCTGTTTCAATGCTCTTTTCTACCATCAATTTTGACTCAAACCTTTCTTGGTCTTCATGTCAAGTTATTATCTACTTCAGGAACTTATTCTAGACAAAATAGTAGCTATAGTTACACCTTCTTCTAGAATTGTATACTTCTTCATATTTTCCTATGTTATCTGCTGCTATTGGTTATTTATTTGTTAAAAAGAAAACAAAACTGTTGAAAGTTGTGCTTGTACCCCAGTTCTCTAACTGGAGATGTGGGGGGAGGATCTCACTTAAAAAATTAGTGGCTGTTGGTGAGACACTGCTGTAGACATCCTCAACTGAAAACAAGCTTCTTGTGCTGTGTTTATGGACCCTTTCTGTCTCTGTAGGATTGAACTTAGGGTCTGGCACATACGAAGCACACGCTACCACTGAGCTACATCCTCAGACACGAACCGTTTGTATTTTCAAGAAAGCAGTATGAAAAGGAACTAATTACATCTTTCTTCGCTCAATTATCCATGTCAAAATCTTTTTGTAAGTGAAAGTTACCTGTGATGGGAGAGCAAGAGCCCGCAAATCGAGCCTTTTGTTCTGACAAGGTCAGGAAGGGTCATAGTTACTCAAAAAATAAGCTCGTTTCATTTGTGTGTGGTTAGTATAGTCACACATAAGCCCATGTTCACAATGGAGCTACGAGGCCTTTCAGCTAAACCTTGCCTGTCACCTCACGTGTGTTTGTTCACAGATGTTTTCTAGATATTTTTTGTTCACTTTTTGTACAGTAGGTCATATTGTTAGTTACAGTGTCCTTTTGTCACGGCATTTTTTGACACTTCATTGGTATTTCATATTTCAAATACTTTTAGTTTTCTCTGTTTCAGTCTTAGACTTAGTACTTTGCTAAGGCTCTCTGATTCCTGCTGACAGTATGATAAATGGTATTTGTAGTCAAAATTAGGAGGTAGAGGTGTTTTTGTTGCACTTGAGCAAGTTCTGTTTCTTTGTCATATTGTTTTCTCCAAGGTGAGAAACTGGGTTCTCATTTTCCCAATCTAGTATACACTTATTTAATCCAAAAAATTGAAAATGGGTTCAAATTGCCTATTCCATGCCTTTGTGAGGGAGAGGAGGTGGAGAAAAAAGAATATAAACCCTTTATGCTGGTTTTCGAGCATTGTTGTGTCTTGGGTGCCTAAACCTGTCTTCAATAATGACTTAGTTCATTTGCCATCTCCACTCCCAGGCCCTTCAAAGTGGTTGTGTTGCTCCCTTAAAATATGATTTGATAATTTTAAATTTAAATTAAGTTACATTTATAAGTTTGTTTTTACCAAGTACTGAATGAAACAATATGGGCTTGGTGCTTTCTGATCCTGTATTTAACACATGAGCTAACAATTCCATTTTCACAATGACAGGAAAGGAATATTAGCACTCGCTGGAGGTTTTTATTCTTGTCTTCCTAGCGTAGATAGCTATAAACTAACTCAGAATATCAATAGCAGCTGGGTTTAAGCAAAAGTTCTAAATTATGGAGAAGCAAAGGGGTGTGAACACTGGCATGTTAGTATTCTCAAGCATGTATCAACCTATGAATAAATTTCAAATACATGCTTAGGTCTCTGGCACTGCGTGTTCAGTTATTTGTTTTCCTTTTCATTTCTAATAGTGTGCACAACCAAGCTGGCAATTAAATCAACTGTTAAATGTTTATCTTTATATTTAACTTTATGTTTTTTTGTCTCAGAAAAGAATTTAAGCTATCCCAATTGGGAAGTTGTTGGAAACATAAATATAAATCATGATTTCTATTTTCAGTTAAATTTAGTTCTGCATTTCTTTAAGTGCACAGCAAAAACGGGAACCTAATATTCTCCATTTCAAGACAACTCACACTGGTTTTACACTTGATTCTCAGGCTTTCTATCGGGCTGTCTGTGCAAAGCAAGACACAGTGCTTTAAACCAGCGCTGTGTTTAACAGTGTTTTGTATGAGCTACTCAAGTGCAGATTACTCATCATGGATAAATATAAATGTTGCTATATTTAATGCTTATTCGAGTCAAACTTTGAGGCTACGGTTGAATAGACACATTGCATGGAAATTTACACGATTAAGGTCTGCTGACTTGATGTTGGGTAAGAATTTAGTGCACACAGCAAAAGGACTTTTCAGTCTTGGTCTGGGATTTTATATCTCTTATCACACTTTAGCTATTTTGGAAGGCAGATAGGTCTCACTTTGACACTTAATTTCTCCTGTGAATTGCCTATAAGCTGGGATTTCTATTAGAAGAAGATCTAGAGGTTATACTGTAGAATTATGTTAATGAACTGGCTAAGAAATGGGTTTGGAGGCAAGATAACAATGTGTCTGGTTTGGAGTACATGCAGTAGCAGCTTCTGTATCCAGTGGCAAAAGCAATGCAATGAAAGAAAACTAGGAAAGGGTTTGTTTTCTCTTATAATTTAAAAGTAATGAATGTATCAAGATAATTGACTATATTTTAGATAACCAGCTATACTTATGACAGAAAAATCATACTTTAAGTTACTGGTACTATGACTTGTTGACATTCAAGTCAACAAAACTTTTCTAAGGCTAGCAATGTTGGAACTGAAATACAGTGCCCTTTCTATAGCCTAGAATCATATGGATTGTACCTGTGCCGTCCTACAAAAGTAGGATGTCAATCATGCAATACATATTGTGAGGTAGAAATAAATACTGAATTCTGTTATGCTGCCTTTTGCCATAGCAAGAAAAGTAAATAAAAGGAATAAGCTTGTCACCCAAACTGCTCTGAGATTAATTTGACATTTACTAAGAACAACTGGGAATACCGTAAAGATTGCCAATATTCAATGCCATAAAGGCGTAAAATGGCAGGACTCCTGTATTTAAGACTCTGCCCAAGGTTGATTTTAGCACTCTCTGTTGAAATCTTCTTCATGTGTAACAGTTCCCCGCCTAGACATTTGTCATCAGATGATGATCAAAGATCATTTGGCTAAGATGGTTATTAGTACACTGATAACCATCAAAAATGGAGGACAGACTAATGTGTACACAGAGTCATTATCTAAAGAGAACCCGGTTGAATCCCACTTCTTCAAGGAAAGAAATGATGGTTTTGGAGGGTGTCGGTATCTGCTGAATGAATTCTTGGAGGATGAACCTATTTTAGTGCTGACGTGGCTTACGTGGGCAGGTCACTTTTAAGTAACCATGGCAGCACTTACTCACTCAGTGCTATGGAGCACCGCTCACTTCCAGAGCACTCACTCACTGAGCACTCTCTGACTGAGCATTCATTTACTGAGCACTCACTTCCTGAGTACTTACTAATTGAACTCTTACAATGTGTTTAATGTTAAGGACTCAAAGAGACAAAGGTCAGTCATAGTTTTTGTTTCCCAAAGCTAAACAGAGAAGATAACAATAAAAATGCGAACAAAAAAGATAGCAATAAAAATGCAAAGATAATTATTAGGTTGTATGAAATTGTGAGCAATGCCACCAATGGACACAGAGAATTTAAGGGTGTTTGGATGAGTCACACCCATGGAGGTATCCTACCTATTTCTAATTATTGTATTAAACACTGCTATAATAATATCAGTAACTTTGCCTTTTGACAACTTTGATCATCAAGAGTCATGGAATCGCTACCATTCTGAGTTTCAGTTCTGTGTGTACTGAATGACAAAGTGCCTTGGAGGCTGGGCGTGTAGAGTTGGGGTTGATAGAATGCTTGCCTAGAGTGAGTGGAATTCTGGTTTTGATTCCCAGAACTTCATAAGTCAGGCAACTTTATAATCTATAATTCTAGGGAATCTTTAGCTCCCACTAGACTCTCAAAAGGTTATTGTCAGTGTGTCCTGGCTCTGCATTTCTCCCTGCTGGTTCAGGTCAGCTGCTACAGCTCTTGTGTAGTCAATAAGATGATTAATACGAAACAT